AATCCGCCTCGGCTGGTCGCCGCCGCCCCCTGAATCGCCCCCAAAGTGACGAGATCGAGGCCGCCATCAAGCAGATCCGTTCCTCTTAGGCCATTGAAGCCCCGCCATCAAGCAGATCCCTTCCTCCTAGGCTATTGAAGCCCTTCGAAACAGGTACCTTTCATCTAGATTTGATATGATTTCGGGTTAGGGTTAGATGTTTTTATGAGAGAAAATTTGGGTAGTTGATTTAATTGTATATCTTCATCACCTAAGAGCAGTAAATTTTATACAGCTAACCCAACAATTTTTTTTTGTTATTTATTGAGTGAGATTCCCTTTTTCTGTTGATGCTTGATGGTGAAACTACTAAGAAAAAAAATAAAATCTTTTGCTCTTTCGAAGCTATATGACATCTTCCCTGTCTTACTTCTTCTATAGAATTGTTTGAGCATCGTTCAAACTTTGTTAGTCTGCAGATTCGATATGACATCTTCCCTGTCTTTCGAAGCTAACCCAATTTCCTTTGTTAGTCTGTAGAAAATTGGTCCTTTGCATTATAAAATCTACCTTCTAGCTAATTTCCTAATATTCATAGAGGTATTATATTTTTATTTTATTTTATTTTCCATACTACAATACATGTTAGATATCTCATTTGCTTTGAGCAAGATTAAAGACATACAAGGTGCCAGGAGTATATAAAATAAACTTTTTGAACGAGAATTTAAATGTGATTAATTTGAGGCAGGCTCTAAATAAAAGTTAGTCTTCTCTGTTAAGGAATAAAATCTGTGTTTTCAAGATGCAACTTTTCAGTTTCAGTCAGTTCTTTGCTCAATTTCTTTGTTCAGCTTAATTTCTTTGTTCAGTTTCTGTCAACTATTTTTTTTAAAGTTTATTGATCATTTATTAATGATCAATTTGAACAGGCATGGCAGATGATTTAGATGATGATGGCGGGATTAATTGCTCGGTTGATGAGAGAGATGAGTTGCCTCAGAATACTGATCAGCAGATTGAGCAAAATGAGCCTAAAATTGGGATGGAGTTTAATAATCCAGATGAATTGTTTGAGTTCTACAGAGACTATGCAAAGAGCAGTGGATTTCCAGTTAAGAAACATACAAGAAGGAAGAATGTAATAGGCATTGTTAGAAGTATAACTTTAGTATGTGGTCAAGCTGGCAAACATAATAGTACTTGTCAAAATCCTTTAAAACCACAAGCAAGCTACAGAGTTGGGTGTAATGCGAAGATAACAGCTAGGTTAAATCTGGACGGAAGATGGGAAATATCTGTGGTTGTTCTGGAGCATAATCATGGCCTTAGCCCTACTAAAAGTCGTTTCTTTCGATGCAACCGAAGAATTAGTGCACATGTTAGACATCAAATTAATTTGAATGATCAAGCCGGAATCAGAATCAACAAAAATTTTAGCTCACTGGCACATGATGCTGGTGGATATGAGAATCTGTTGTGTGATGAAAAGGCTTGCAGGAACTTGGTTGATGAATCAAGGCGTTTACGTCTCGACGAAGGTGATGCTTCAACGATTATGAAATATTTTTCAAGGATGGTTGCAGAAAATTCAGGTTTCTATTTTGATATTGAATTGGATGATGAAGATCATTTGAAAAATGTATTTTGGGCAGATGGTAGGAGCAGAGAAGCTTACAAAGAGTTTGGTGAGGTCGTCACTTTTGATACCACATACTTAACAAATAAGTATGATATGTCATTTGCACCATTTGTTGGCGTTAACCATCATGGGCAATCAATTTTACTTGGATGTGGGTTAATTTCAAAAGAAGACACAGAGACCTATGCGTTTACCTATATTTGCAGTCCTTAATCATGATGATCTCAAGACAATAACAACCACCATGAAATCAATGCTGATGCTCCAAGGCTCGACAACCTCCTCAATCATGATGGCTCCTACTGCTTTTGTTACTGATGTTATTGTTCTGTTCTGATGCCTCTTTTGTTACTGCTGCTCCTGCTGATGTTATTGTTCTGTTCTGATGCCTCTTCTGTTACTGATGTTATTGTCCTGCTGCTCCTGCTGCTTCTGTTACTGTTGTTGGGAAACTATGTTATCTTTGAGCTATTTCTGTCTTCTGTGTGGTGTTGGAAAACTTTGTGGTATGTGATTATTATGTGAAAACTTTGTGGTATGTGATTACTCGTGGAAAACTTTGTGGTATGTGATTACTTGTGGAAAACTTTGTGGTATGTGATTACTTATGTGATTTCTGTCTTCTGTCTTCTGTGTGCTGTTGGAAATCTTGGCTTACAGATTTCTGTCTTCTGTCATTATTGAGCAGTTGTAAATCTTGGCTTACTGCATTTTAGATGGAAGGCGAAGGGTTTGTTAAGAGCAATGGGGGGTGGTGGTGAAAATCTTGGCTTACTGCATTTTAGATGGAAGGCGAAGGGTTTGTTAAGAGCAATGGGGGGTGGTGGTGATTCAGATTGGTGAGATGCAATGGGGGTTTGTTAAAATATGCAAGAATGCTGAATGCACTTTCTTTTTGGTAAATAAATATAATGCACGTTGTTAGTCCAGCAATGAATATAAAGGTGAGATGCATTATTGCCGCTATTCTATCCAAGCTCTCACATTTCTTGCAGACACTGATTAAGATGACCTTGAGCTTGATGCAAGTAATGAGCCCCATCTTCGTAATCCTTTAGGAGTTAAATCCTGATAGTTGAGTTAGCAAAATAGTACACTGATTTTCATTGAACACTGATTTTCATTACATAGTTGAGTTAGCAAAATAGTACAAGGCCCAAACCAAAAAACATGCCCTTACTTGGATATTATTACAAGAAAAATGGACATCATGAAACCAACAAAAATTCCAATTAGAAAGCCTTTTTCCTGAATATGTTTCTTCCAAACTCCATTTTCTTCCCCATGTATTCTTGATCTCAATTTCTCATTTTCAATTGAAAGCTCTTCAAACTTGCGAATAAATATATTCATTGCGTCGTGAGCGTAACTTGGTACTTCACCATGATCTAACCAAGTCCAACAATTACAAGTGTTCATAGCACAAATTCCAAATCGATGACACGGATGCCTCGGGGTGTAAGAAGTCTTCATTTGCACTGGAATCCCACAAAAGCAATTTGGAATCTCGTATGGAGGTGGACGATTCCATATTGCAACATATAGCCTCCTATCAAAGAACCTTGCTCGTTGAGAAGAAGATGATTGTTGAGAAGATGTTGACGACATGATTCTGCAGTAGAAGAAAGTTTTAGACCATACATCACTCTCTCAAGGAAAAAAAACTGTAAATTAAAATTATCAACCATAAACTATGGGTTGTTACCATCCGGCCTAAAAATCAAAATTATCAGCCATAATATTATCAAAACTGTAAATTTTATACAGTTAACCCAAGATAAGATTATGAATCTCAAACTAAACAAGGAATAATGAGCGCATCCACTTGTTTATTCTGTCTAGAGTATAATAATAAAATCAACTAAAAGATTAACATAGTGCATCACTACCAAATGCTTTTCATACCTGTTCAATGCTTCTTCAATCTACAAACGTAAGATTGATAAAATTTCTATAATCAGATATCAACAAAAAATGTACCATGTAAGAATTGGTTTCAAATTCCTTGGGTGAAAGCTTGGTCAACAATGGTGATGGAGAGGGTTGCACAAATATATACAAGATTGGATTAGCTGTATAAAATTGTTACATGGTTAGCTGTATAAAATTTACTTAGTAGTTTCACCATCAAGCATCAACAGAAAAAGGGAATCCCACTCAATAAATAACAAAAAAAAATTGTTGGGTTAGCTGTATAAAATTTGCTCCTCTTAGGTGATGAAGATATACAGTTAAATCAACTACCCAAATTTTCTCTCATAAAAAACATCTAACCCTAACCCGAAATCATATCAAATCTAGATGAAAGGTACCTGTTTTGAAGGGCTTCAATGGCCTAGGAGGAAGGGATCTGCTTGATGGTGGGGCTTCAATGGCCTAAGAGGAACGGATCTGCTTGATGGCGGCCTCGATCTCGTCACCTTGGGATGCGATTCAGCGGGCGTCGGCGACTAGCTGAGGCGGATTCGCTTCAATGGCCTAGGAGGAAGGGATCTGCTTGATGGTGGGGCTTCAATGGCCTAAGAGGAACGGATCTGCTTGATGGCGGCCTCGATCTCGTCACTTTGGGGGCGATTCAGCGGGCGGCGGCGACCAGCCGAGGCGGATTCG